TGGTTGCACTTGACAGTACTCTGGTCATACTGGTATTTGCTTAGTATTATCAAGTTGCACTTTTTTGTTTGGATAGTGTGTTAATCATAGGGCTGAAGTCGGGATTAGAAATAGGATCAGTTTGAGGTGTGTTTAGGATTAAAATAGTCAGGATTAGGATCAGGCTTAAATTAGGGTTTAGGTTACATTGTCTGTGGAGATGCAACATGTGATGGCGCATTTTATTACCAGATAGTTGAGAATAAGCATTGGGCCATATTTTAATATTTACATTTGGGCTTTTACTTTCCCAAAAAAACAGGGAAAAAGTAAATGTACTCTGGATTAAAAAACAACTACTGAAAACTTGTCTGAGATGTGGTTGAAAGCTCTGAAAAGCCAGTAAAAGTACTTTTGAGTTTAGATTATTTTGTTACATGTTTAAACTAATTGTATCCGACCTGACCTACAAGCTCTCAGTGCATCAACTTAAATGTCTGCAAAGTTCATAAAAAAAAAAGAATAAAAAGACAGCTTCATGAACTTGGATTTTTCAAATATCAAAAGTAGAAAAAGTAGTTTTTTTTCCCTCATACGTGTTGAGCAAATGGCAGGATTGTGATTATAATTCTACCGCACATAAATTAATGTGTGATTCAGTGGTACTAAGTAAATGCCAGCAGATGTCTGTATTGTGAAGTGTAACCACAGTTTCTTGTTACTTGAGCAGCTCAGTGATGTTGTGATAGCAAGCTTGTTCCATAAGCGTAAGCTGTGTGAGGCTACCTTAAAGATTTTCAACTTGCTAAAGGGCAATCACTTTTACTAAAACTTAAAAACTTTAAATGAAAAAAGTAAATCCTGCCTACCCTGCCAGCAACATTACACTAAGACTGATACTGCATATTTTTGTACAGACATCGGTGTATGATGAAGATAACTGGAATATTGTCAGATGTTATTGGAGGGAAGAATGTAGCACATTGTGGACTCGAATCATCCTCAAAAGCACAAAAAAAACGATATCATTAGGGACACACCATGTCACTATAGCGATCAGATAGTGTCCGATACTAGGCTGAATATAAATATATGACTCATTTACAAGTTTCCTCGATGACTTTTGCCAAAAACTACAGTAAACAATTACATTTTCTCTTTGTTTTATATATACAGTATATATATGTATGAAGACTTTTTATCTGATTGATCTTAAAACGGAAGCAATTGCATTTTAGATTCAGCAGTGAACCATACTTTTGAGTGGCAGGGACCTTTTTTGTACCTCGCTAATGAACCATATCCATCAGCCAGAGACAATCAAGAATCATTACAGAGCAAACAAAGAGGCTGCCTTCAAACACTTCAGAGACTGACAATCAAAGCTGGGAGGTATAGGAGACTTTAAAAAAAAAAAGAAGAAGAAAAAACTGTGAAATGAATGCAACACTGTCGATACAATTGCAATGACATCAACCGTGCATGACCAAAAATGAGCCGCTATAGACAATCAGTTACTTGCAGAAATGAATCGAGTATTGTACAAAAGCGTCGCTGTACTTTGCAGGGTTTTAACCTCTGCTCACTTTCCTCTGACTATTGTTTTTGTTGATGCATCTCAGTTTAATCTCATATGAAATGTCTTTCAACTCTTATTTATTTGTCTTTTCACTCGTTCACACAAGTCCTCTGTGTTGTTTCTGTTGTCGTTGTGTGTTGTTGTGTTAGTACCTTATAGCTACCAAGAGTCAACCCTTTTGTGAAGGCCTTGGATCCCTTTAATGAAAATAAAACGGTGTGTAATGAATATGTATTCAGGGGCCTTTATTTCTGATGTGTGGTTCAAGTTTTAAAGGTTGATCATTTAACAAGAGTTTGAACTACAAAGACTTGAAAAAAGTATTCTTATATTATCACCATTACCCAAATACAATAATTTATTACATTTTTGGGCAAATCCAATATGTGAAAATAGTATTTAGTGTAAATTTAATTATTGTTAAATTTTTAAAAATATAATCATCAACACATGTAATGAGATAAAGTACTTTAAAAAAACATTTGCTGCTGTGAATCAATATTTATTTATTTGCAACGGATCACAACGCACTTGTATTTAAAAAGGGTCGCTCTTATGATGAACCCATACAGGATTATCACCAAACTATGCAGCTCCTCTCACATCTACTCAGCATTTCGTAGGCATACCTTTTGTTTTTTCACCTCTCAACTCAAACACGATACAACGTTATTGTCTATGAAGTGTTTACACTGTACTTCGTTTTGCATCCTTCAGAATTGCTGTTCAAGAAATGTTTACGCAGGCTGAACATACGGTTACATATGACATTTCTCGTAGACGTAAATAACTAATTCAAACAGTCCCGTCTTTGTTTGAACACTCCACCTCCGCTCCCATCTGTGCTGTGTGGACTATCTCGCTATTTCAGCACCTAGTGACGCGGGTGGGTTTACATTGTAGTTTAAAGCACGGTGCGTCTGCATCAGACGCCGTCGGGATTTGATAAATTGGAAGTGAAACCGGATTGGACAATCAGAAGGAAGGCCACATTTTGGTTGACTCGCTGCTTTCATGAGCATCTTTTCCCTGCCCAACACTAAACGACAGACAAAGACTATCTGGTGAACATAGTGAAGCATTGGAGTAAAAAAAGGTGAATATTTCTCCTTATATGCTGGAGTATTAAATAAGCCACTGTTTGCCAACGAGTTTGCCATATCGACATATAAGGTGATGACATGTCAGTGTTTTTTATACTTTATAGCTGCTCCCAGGTGGCCAAATATTAGTTGATGCAGGTGTTGTTTCTTTAGGATAGAAATTAGAAAAAATGTTGGTCATATGATGTAGGCTTTCCATGTTATTCTTTTAGGCTTGGATTGAAAATGCTTAGCATCTGAGGGTCAGTGTGGGGGAGAGAGACTATCCAACATTTACAGCAAAATCCACACTCCTTCAAAAGGGGCAACGCATGAATGCAGCGTCGGTCGTGAAGTGGACGTGGCGGAAACTGGCCAACCATTAGCAGGGCGGCATTTTGTGCTAATGGCATGACTCACTTACATGGCCCCTGGAGGATGGACAGATATTAAAGACAGGAGAGGAGGAAGAGGGAAAGATAATACCAGATGCTCTGCAGAGAGAATGAATACACACTCATGAACATAATGGGATTCTAAGATGAGATCCCAGATGTCGGTGCACTCCAGCTTAATGCAGCGTCATCAATTTCCCCCAAATGTATTATAAGTACTTTGTTTTGAATAACATTGACAAAATAGTAAAAAAAATCTCCATGATGATTAATATATATATAGATGTTCAGGATTGCCAATTTTAATATATAATTGAATCAGAATTTTATTTTCAGTGTTTTCTGGATTATAATTATTTAAAAATTATTTCATTTTTAACACTATGAAAACATATCAAAAGAACATTGTACTTTAGTGCAATTCATAACAACAAAGCCATCTAAAATCATTTAGGAGGGCAAAAATACAAAGACAATATAAAGATTTTTTTATCAGTAATTATTAGAAGAAAAAAAACTTGATAAACATGATTTATAAAAGGCTTTACACTCAAAATGTCGGTAAGATTACTGAGTGTTGTTGAGTAATTTGAATGTCGGCAACACAGCAATGTGTTGCACCAGAGGTGGACGAGGCCATCAAGCTGAAACATGGAGGCAACAACGAGCCAAAATAAGGTGTGTGTGTGTGTGTGTGTGTGTGTGTGTGTGTGTGTGTGTGTGTGTGTGTGGGGTGACAGCACTTCTTGTTACTCATCAGCTGACATAAAACATGTGGAATAAGGTAATATCAGACAATAGGAATGTCTGGCCACAAGGCAAAATTACCAACGCAGCAAAGTGAGCAACTCACCCCAGGCCCCAGACCTCCAGGGGCCCCAAAAGCCCCAGGTTCACTGTGTGTCAGTTTGTTTGGCAATTTAATTTCTTGCCAACTTGTATGGGAGTTAGCATTGTAGTTTGTACTGTGCTCACATTGTAACAACTCTGGGGATGGATGATTGTATTCAAACACAGACAACGCAGGCAGGCACGATCAATTCAGTGATGTAACGCCAAAGTGAATGTACTGTATATGCTTACAGGCAAGCACAGGAATCATGAGGGAGGCAAGGGTCACAACCGGGAAAGCAATCCAAACAGGCAAACACATCAAAAGACGAAGGCAGGAAATCCAAAGTTCTAAAAATCAGACAGCAGTTCAAAACAGGCAGGTAACACATTTCAAACCATCAAAAAATCAAAAAGGTTTCAGGTATCACAGAAGCTATAGAAGGCAAGATGCCCATGGACACTCTGACAATCTGATAAAGGAATTTGAGCAGTTATATACTGCAGGGTTTATGAGGGAAAGTGGAAACAGGTGAGCAGGTGGATTAGGAATCGGGTGATTGGAGCAGGTGGAAAAGTCTGAGGGCATCTGGTGGACATGAGGAGAATGGCAATGAACAGGTTTGCAGGAAGTGGGAATGTGGCAGGAGGACAGAGAGGCAGAATGGGACCAACGTGGTGCCTTTCCCTAAATAAAGTTGTTTCATCAAATGACCATAATCTGATTGACCACAAGGAAGTGTATACCATTTAAATCCATTTAAATATAACTTATTTATGTATTAATTTAATACCAGTTGATTAGTATATTCATAGACGTCATGGGTAACCAATACAAATGGTATACCATGTATAATAGCAGAAGTAATAACAGCTTGATTACAGCCATCCTTTATAAATGGTATAGCATATTTGTATGTAGAACCACAATTCAGTCCTAAATTAATTCATTTAGAGATTGAAAAATGGAAACCAAATGGAAGAGAACTTCCTAATGTCATTTCATCTTCTCACCTGTACCTGTAGCGACTCGCACCATGTGCTCCCTCTTCCGATCAGAGACATATATGATGCGCGCTGTTATGGGCGGATATTGAAAGCGGCAACGACTCGCTCTGCTGTTGAGTGAGGGAGCGCAGAGCCAGAGAGAGCAGCCGGTGATCGATCAGCCCAGCCTAGTCCCAAGAGAGGCTGAAGCTCCAACGCAGAAACAACGGTGAGCTTTGTTTGGGATGGTTTTGGAGAGAGCTGGTGCAATTAGAAACAAGATATGTCTCTTTTATTCTCCAAATGATAAGTGTTGTGATATCAATGAAGCGTTTATTTTATTTTTTGCAGCGAGTGGAATGGAGTTGGGTCGTATGCTGTTGATGCTTTTGACCTTAACGGGAAGCACATCAGCGCTGATCGAGCAGTACAGAGCGGTGGTGAGTTCAATGTCTTTATTAGAGAGAGAGAGAAAACATGTAACTGTACTAAAACTCTTCAATGTGTGTGTGGCTGCCCTTCGATTATTGATGAATTATGTAAGTATGCTTGTGTTGTGATTCAGCGTTATATTTATATTTATCTACATATATGCCATATTTGCTTTTACTCAGTCTAATTCTTGGTGTGATTAGTCGACTTTGTTGATTTATATCACTTTATATTTTTAATTGTGAGTCAAAGAAGTATTTTATATACTACTCTTTTCAATTTAGTAACAAATATTTATACATCAAGTTAGTAACATTTCAAACCACCAGCAGGCTTTTGAGAAAAATCCCTTATACTTTCCTGCGTGTGTTATTGTATTCAATTGTGTACATGTGTGGGGCATACACATATTTGTATCTATTAATATGAGAATCAGGGTGTCATGATGTGGCAGAGAGACATGGTGCACAGGAGGCATCCTCCATATGAATCCTGCGATTTAAAAAAGCATAAAGAAAAGGCATCATATCCATATTTTGTGGTGTATTTTGACAATGTTACACTTATTTTCAGGTAAGAGGTTTGAAAGGCAACACGATTTAGAAATCTGCGAGCTTCCTTTGTTCAGTTCACTCAAAACACTTCCTCAAAAACGACATACAAACTTCTTATTGTTGTGCAACTTTGCATGAGCCGTGTGTAAGAAAAAAGTTAAGTTTTACTTCTGCCACCATGAAAGTCATCATGTTTGGTCCACATTCTGTGTGATGCTGCTGGTTTTTTGGGCTGCAAAGGCATGAAAATCTGAGAGGAATCAAACTGTCTTTCAGGTGAAATCATAAAGGTGACCAGACTTTTTCAAAAATAGTTTAAAAAAAACAAACAAACACCAGAATTAGCTGAAAACTATCTATTTTTGGTGGAAATAAAATACTGAGTAGAAAATTAAACTACTACTACTAATTTTTTGCAGTGTAAAACCCACCGAAAGACAACTGTTGACGAATGAGCCACCACCCTTTCCTTTCAACTGCTAGCACAGCAGAAGGGTGGAGGCCATGCAGGAGGAAGGGCGGGTTTCAAAATCTCTTTTGAGAAACAGATTTGATTTGTTTTGATCGAGATACACGATTAGCGTTAAACATTTCACATGCCAGTTGTCAAATGCACGCAGCCTTTATCCCATCAAGTACCTCACTCAACAGATGATATAGTACTATTAAAAAAGGCTGACACACTCCATTGTGAGGATCTGATCTATAGTAATAAATACCCTACATGACACCAGCATTTGCCAGTAATCTTAAAGTTGACTGGTGTTAAGACATGGATTTTAGTGTTATTGTTGATTAGGCGTGTTTTAATGGTGCTTTACTTGAGAAGTTATTTACCACCAAAGGAAATTAATGTGTTATATCTTTATGACCCAACATCCTGTGGTGGGGTTATCATTTTAATAAAAAACACAAATGACCAAATTTGTTCTGGTTTCCTTGTTTTCTGTGCAGGATTGGCTGAGCAGGTATGGCTACCTTCCTCCCCCCGACCCGCGCACAAGTAAACTGCAGACCAAAAAGGGGGTTGAGAAAGCCATTCGTCTCATGCAGAGATTTGGCGGGGTCCAGGAAACCGGGGTTCTCGGTAACAACCTCTAAACATGGATCTATCAGGACAATATATGATGTGTATATGAGATTTCACATATCTGGGGTGTAATCTGCCTTTTAGTTTCAGCATGCGTGATAAACTTCTCTTCCAGACAAGGAAACCCTCAAACTCATGTCTACGCCTCGATGCTCTCTCCCTGATTTTGTTGGCAATGAGGACATGCTGAAGAGGAGGAGGAGGAGGAAGAGATACGCCCTGTCAGGCCTTAAGTGGCATAAGACAGACCTAACATGGAGGTGTGTTTCCTGTCATGTTGCATTGTGGTTTCATGTCATCCCTGTATGAATCACAAAGCTTTGTGTGTCACAAGTGAGTTAGGTGTTTGTTACATTTATTAAAAAGTTACAGCCATCATTTTGAATGCCAAACAACATTTTAATTATAACAAAGTATGTTATGTTTTAAAGCCAACTATGTTAGGATTAAGGATACCTAAAGAGAGGAAGTCAGGTTTTTTTGGGGAAGTGTGCTGTTAGTGTCTTTTCTTTTCGTCCATATTCTCACAAGCTGATCAATATAGCCTTTTGACATAAAACACATTAGGAGAAGTAATACAAGGTGATATAAAAATACATATTTAAATAGTGAAATAAAATAAGGCTGGTGGTATTCTACATTTTTCTTGTGTTTTTTGTTTTAGCTACAGACTAATACCCAATTTGTGCTAGAGTTTACAGCAATAGGACCTTACAGCAACAGGAGGGTGTATGTGTGATTGATACGTAATGAACTACGGGGCCCACATTCATAGTAATGAAAGGAACATGCCACCAATGCCGTTTAGTCATCGATGTGGTTTTGGACAACAATGTATCTCTGTGGCACAAATACACATCATATTTTGGCTACACAGGCTATACTGGCTGGTTTTGATCCTTACAATGGATTTGTTGACAATAATAACAAAAACGCAGAATATTGCCAGACCTATCCTTCAACTCTGTGTTAAGCAGGAAAAATAGGAACATTCTCAAAAACCAAACTATCCCTTTAAGTTGCAGATTGTTAACTTCTTTGAAAGACTCAATCTCGATGAACTTTGGAACATGAATTTATTAAAACGAGAGCGTAAAACAAAACAAAAGTCTCACACGCAATGCATCGTGAACAGATTTAGAGGTTAATTAAAACTGTCTACAACTTTGTTACAATATATAATCTATTCTTGTCTGCAGTGTCCACAGCTACCCTTCGCCCTCCCTCTCACCCGACCTGTCCAGCAGTAGCGTGGACACGATCCTGACTCACGCCTTCAAAGCCTGGAGCGACGAGGCCCCCTTGAGTTTCCGGCGGCTGCCGAGTGACATCAGGGGGGCGGCAACTGGAGGGGACATCAGAGTGACTTTTGCCCGCTTGCTTCACGACGACGGGTACCCTTTTGACGGGCAGGGTGGTACCCTGGCCCACGCCTTCTTCCCTGGCAGGGATGAAGTGGCGGGTGACACACACTTTGATGATGATGAGATCTGGAGCTATGGAGGTATTTACTGATTGAAATCATGATGGATAGGATTTATGATGACCGTTCTCAAGATGTGTCTGACAATCTGGATGCCGATAATGAAAAAGTGATCCATAGTAATGAAAAAGGAAACAGAGAATAATAGCCAAATAGCTCCCAAATCATGGTTGTTAATGTGATCCAGTAACACAGATTCTTCACACATCCTCAGGTGACAGCGGCAGCACAGACTTGTTCACAGTTGCAGTGCACGAGTTCGGGCACTCGCTGGGCCTGTCCCATTCCTCGTCCGATCCGTCCATCATGAGGCCCTACTACCAGGGTCCTGTACAAGACATCCGAAACTACCGGCTGGCCCTGGACGACAAGCACGCCATCCAGCAGCTTTATGGTCAGTAACCAGTTGACCACAATCTGGATCCGAGTACAGAGTATCAGTATCTGTGATATTTACTGAACTTACAGGATGTGTTATGTAGTGTTTTCCATGTCTGTATGTGTATTTGTCAGATATGACATCTTAATATAAAGACAAACGCGTTAACTCTTAGCTTAGAATAGTTTACTGTTTATTCCGGAAATTGTACCCGATGTTGCTTCATTATATGCTTTTATTTTGGTTTATACAAGTACTGACATTCAATTGAACCCACAAGGAACATATATGAAAAAAGGAAGGAGTCCAAAGTAGGTTTGCAAGTTAATACAATGTGGAAAAGCAAGAATAAGAGCCTATAGTCGTGCTAGCGGCTCTGTGAAGCTGTACTTGGGCAACAATGATTTGAGCTAAATGCTAACATCGTCACGTTTGTTTAACATACTCTCCATCTTAGTTTAGCCTGTTAGCATGCTAAATTAGCACTAAACACAAAGAGCGGCGAAGCCGGATGTCATTAGTTATGTAGGTAGTCAGGGGATCAACAAGGTCAGTCTGCTTCGTCCTTTGGGCACCATGAATATCTGAGTTTCACTCTGGCCTTTCATCCTGTTCATTATTTTCCTATTCCTTGATTTATTGTTGTGTGAAATCCTCACTGTCCAGATAAATAGGACCATTAGTGGTTTGTGGTAGGTAGGTAGGCTATGGCCTTGTGATTTCCTACAAAAATGCAGGAAGTGGCCCTGAACTAGCTCATGGTTACTTGTTGTTAATGTGATAAGCTTGTACTATCAAGCACACACACACAAACCGGATTTCAACTGTTTCCTTCCGTGTCTTAAAAAGAAAGCATCCTGTGTGTCAAACTTCCCCCTGGCTACTGAGAAGAATGTAGGTTGCTTGGACAATTTTTGCAGTGCTGTCAACAGCGTTCACCGCCTCTTCAACATTGCCTGCTGTCACCATTCTGTTGTAGGTGTGAAGGACCGCGGACCACCAGGAGGTGGTGATCCTGACCTCCCACGCCTGCCCAGTCCACCTCCTCCAAGACCAACACAGCCGTGAGTAGAGCCAGAGGGAACAATCCCTTTACATGCATCCAGACAATAAGCACTTATCATTTGCATTTACACACTATATATCCTCTCAAATCACTCTGTTTACTCATGAAGGATGATGAGTAATTTAAGACCAGTGGATATCGATACAAGTCTTCAGATCGATTCTCCCTGTGACAGAGTTTGGTCGTGTTGCACCCTCTAGTGATTCTTTTGTCAAACTACATCCTACAAAATATAATTTGACTGAACTTTTTCTGTCCCAGTTCTGAACCCTCATTCAACGAGCGCTGTCAGGGAGGCTTTGATGCAGTGGCAAATATCAGGGGAGAGGTCTTCTTTTTTAAAGGTGAGAAGAAACCATCCAAATTCAGAATTAGCTGGTGTTTTGGTTTTATTGATAAACTTGGTGAACCCCTTTATCATAGTGTGTCTGCATGCACAGTGAGGGACACATGTCATGTTCCATCTCTTTTCTTGGAAAGGTGCACACTTCTGGAGAACTAAGCGAGACGGGTCTTTGGTGTCCCTCAGGCCGGCTCAGATCAAAAACTTCTGGAACGGCCTCCCGCCGGGAACGAATAAGGTCGATGCAGTGTACGAGAGAAAGAGTGACAGCAGCATCGTCTTCTTTATTGGTGAGAAGCAAAATCCTGTGGTCTGTTTTTGATAAGAGGCACGACTGAGTCATAGTAGAAGGTGTGAACATGGTTGATTCTTCTCACGTCTTTGTATGATGTTATTTTGAGGTGGTGGTTTTGAGCAAGAGAGAAATGTTTGTATGGTCCGTGTCGAACAAGAGCTTCATTAAACTAATAATGCCAAAATCCTAAAGACATTGCAATACCAACGGCCCTTGAATGACAAACCATTTATTACAAACGTCTTTCTGACTCTAATTTGCACAAAAAAATTCTGATTTATTTCCTTTGTCTGTTCAGGATCTCAGTACTGGGTCTTCAAGGACACGGACGCCATGAGTGGCTACCCTCGGCCCATCTCCGAATGGGGCATGAGGACAAAGAGCGGGGTGCTGGTGGACAGAGTGGAGGCAGCCTTCATCTGGGCCCACAACGGCAAGACCTACCTGTTCAGCAGTGGGAGGTTTTGGAGGTTTGACGAGAGCCGTAAAGGCGAACGTGTGACCCGGCAGCCAGAGCCGGGCTACCCGCGGAACAACAGCCTCTGGGGAGGAGTGCCCACCCACATGGATGACATCATCAGCTGGGGAGCAGGTAACATTGTGTTCAGAGGCAACATGCACATGTGATGAGTTTCTGCCTCAAGTGCTAAATAAATAAACAAAACTAAGAGGTTTTTTTTTTAGGGGGATTGCATTTTGGTATGGAAGGTATGAAGTACTAAAGCGATGGAAAAGAACTGATCAAAGTCAAAATTGAAATGACTATTGGATATTTGTAATCTTTAAATTTTAATTTAAAATTGTGCAAGAAGTATTCTTTCCTTAAAGGGACCCTGTAGAGTTTTTGACGACTAGTAGTGCTGATGTAGATGCAGGCTGATATTGTTTTCAATGTGCAATGCGAACAAAAAGGAATAAGTGTCACACTGCTGCTGCTGCACTTTAGGAGATGCCTACTTCTTCAAGGACAACCATTACTGGGTGCTGAAGAACGGAGGAATGAACCAAGAAGTCGTCACTCCTAAATCGATCGCAGTAGACTGGCTCAGATGTCCAACTCCTCCTGCAACCTCCACTCCTCGAATCCCAAAGGAGTGCCACTGTGAACTGAAGGGATCATCTTCATTTCTAAGAAGCAGCTGGACCCTACTGATCATTGTCATATTGGTAATTCATGACTTTACTAGAAAATAAGTAGTTTGAAACCAGGTGGCTGCAGACACTCTACATACTAGTGTCAGAAAAATGTTGAATAACTGCCTTAGCTTAAGCATTTGAGGCCTGTGTTACTGTAAATACTTTGCCTTATCAGAACGTATCGCTGACGCACGAAAACAGTACATTTTGCGTCCTCCCTCTGTCCTGCTATAGAATATCCCCCTCCTTTTTCAAGAGAAAGTGTTGGAAAGCACTCCCGACCCTCCTAATGAGGTCTTACAAAACAACCTCATTCTTACAAAACCACCTCATGTTTGGACAGTAAACTGGCCACTCAAACATAAGTGCAATAGTCAATTTCTTTATCAGAGCTATTTTTTTTTTCGATTATGTTTGAGCATACACATATGTACAGTACAATCAGAAATATGGTTAGTTAAACTCATAGTGTGTTGAGGTTTGTTTTTTATATTTTTTTTTTGTTTGATATTGTACATGTAAATGATTTTCAGGCAATCAGGAAGAAAAATCGTCTTTTTTGTTGGCAATCAAAGTGATGTTATTATTGCACAGAGCAGTTGAATTCAATCAGTCGCTTACTTGGTAAGAGTTCAAAGCAGAGTGACGGCAACGGGTATTCAGTCTTTGGGGGCAAACTAAGCAGGCAAGGGGCGGCCAGGTATCTGAAATGAAGTTCATGACTAAAAGAAACTGCGCAGAAATAGTCATTTATACAGATTCAAGCTTCATGTTTTTTCACATTTGAGTTCTTTTACACTGATTCGATTACAATCATGTAACAAAAACATTTTATTCTTGTATTTGATTATTTAATTTGGTCACTGGTGTCCTTTTGAGGTGGATCAAAGCGTTGCAGATGTAATGCAGTAAATCATTTCATGCTTAAAGGGACAGTTCACCCCATAATTATTTCAAAAAAATCTATAACCTGTAGTGCTATATATCAATTGAGGTTATTTAGTGTGAATTACCTAGTTTTGGAGATATCGGCCTTAGAGAAGGCCGACATCTTTATGGTGAACTGTGCCTTTAGAGTTAGTAGGGTTTAGTGATTTTGATTGAACGTAGGCCATATTGTACTTACTATAAAGGTATGGCGTGGATGTTGCACTGTTGCTGCAGGTCTGTATGCAAGAACTCAACAGGTCCATGTTTGAGTGACTATGAGCCAGTACCATGATTAAAATGTCAGAGTTCTTTGATATTATTTTGTGATGCATCTTTGTTAATCATCCCTCGACCCTAGCTCCTTCAAAAGGCCGAGTTGTTGTGCACTGGCACATACGAACATTATCCAGTGACAGTCCCGTGTGGAATGTTCTAGACCGCTGATTGTTATCTCCATTAGGAACGCCTCTCAGAAATACATTTTAGTGCCGTCAAGTCAGACAGTTACAGCAGGTCGGATATATAGTGGAGGAAAACCATGATTAGTTACTCATTTAGATGGCTGGATAGGAGTGAAAAGCAGTTCCGATTTTACAGTCTGGCAAACAAATCTGAACGTACAGCGATACACAAGTGAGAACTTTATTTTTAGCATTTATTATTGTAGTTTCATGTTTTGATTAGTTACTTTGCGTTGAACTTTACGCTGGTATGGAAAATTGTGCAGACATACTTCAAAGGCTTTCATCTTCAACACGGAATACTGCATTAATAACACGTCTAGTCAACCATTGAATCTTTTGTTCCAAGCACATTCAAGGTTTGCTCAGAGTTATTTACTCTATTCTTGAAGTGACAGTTGTTCAGGTCAGCTGTAAGTGACTCAGGTATTTGGATAAAGCTAAACGCAAAACACCCTCGCAGACGTCATTTCCAAGGAAGCAAAGTGGCAAAAAAATGTAAGTATAACCTTTCAAGTGAAAGACACCTGTGCGATGTATACACATTATAGTCATAAATAATGGTCTTCATTCAATTGAGTGACATTTTAATATTTTATTACACCAAATGACAGAGGCGGTTTCATAAGTTAAGCTTGGCAACGTGCCTACATTTGACCTGTACCAATGAAGAAAAAAAATGAAGGCAAATAGGTTTCCAATACAGAGGAATATTAAAGTACAAAACTCCACTTAAAAATGAAAACATATTCTCTAAGAAATTTTTGGCAAAGACTTGTTTTAACCATCAAGACCGATACACATTGGCAGATTTGAATGCAACTAAATACACACAGATTACATTGCTGCATTTCTAAACAAGTATTCCCACATCTACCCTGTAAACTCAGTGCAAATGCACCCCTTTCTCAGACACCTGACTGGAGCGTTGGCCCGTCGGAGACTTCACGAGTTGAAAAGGGTGCATCCTTGAACCAGTTTACCAGCAACACCATAAATTGCTGACAAACCATAGCCTTTAACGGCTCTCTAAAGCCTTCCCAGAAGAACGCTCAGAGCCATCAGCCCCAGAGAGTAGCAGGTTTTGGAGGTAGAGCTAGTCTGCGTGACACGTTGTGCTGGCTGGATGCGTCTGAAGTTATTGATAATAAGAGGTGCTGTGGTGTTGGAGACGCGGACCGTTGTGCTGAAGAGGTCAATCTGGAAACACGATATTAAGCCAGTTACGTACATGAAGCACCGTTAGAGCATTTGTGGGGATCGGCCATGCCAAGACACACCAGAAACAAAACAACTCACCAAATCTTTGCTGACTTGGACCTTGTCCTTGAACACAGTCCAAACCACAGCCTCGTCACAGGAGGGGGTGGTCAAGGAGCCAAGGTAGCGGTAATAACTGCTGCGATTCACCCCAGGTAGGAGATCATCCAGTGATATTCCAGCTGCACTCAATGAAACAGACTCACCTGAGGGCAGAAACACGATCACTGCAGGCACTGTAGCATTTTATCCAAAACATTAAATCAAATTTGCCACTACAAAAGCAACAATCGCCTTACCACCGTTTGTGATGTTGGCAAGGTAGGTGGTCAATTTTTTCCAGCTGGCAGGTTGGCCAGTGGCATCACCGGCCATTTCCTGAAAAGTGTGCACATTAAAATCAGGCTCAATTGTCTTTCCCCCCCCCCCCCCCATGCTCCATGAAGAAACAAATGTTTCATGGAGTTTGTGGCATAAATAAACAAATAAACAGCTGTGTGACAAATTTAACTAAAGAGATCATCTTAAAGATTGCAGTCAAACAGCATGGAACAGAAACAGGATGCAAAACAATTTATTTAAAAAAGTAGCATTTGACTTTTTTGCAAAACTTAAGTTAGAGAAATGGCTGATACATAGAGCAATGAGGTTTGAGACATGACTTAAGTATATTGGCATTACAAAAAAACTGAAAAAACGTTTCCTCACCTCAATGAGGAAACCAAGAGCAGCAAGTCCTGTACCATCTGCAACAGCTAGAGTCGTGTCCCCATTCAAGGATGCCTTGCTGTTTACGATGTGAAGCTGGGGGAGTTAAATCAAGAACAAATAATTGAATAAACATTCAGTGGCAAAACTTACAGCTGAACATGAAAAAGGAACTGTGCGCTACCTCCATGGGATAACGCTTGCCATTCACACTGTGCTCGGAGCCAGGGACAGAGGCACCATTACCCCAGTGCAAGTGGAACTGCAGGCTGTCATAGTCCTCGGACAGACCTCCTCCTGAAATCTTGATATTGCTGTTGAAGTCGACTTTGACTGGAGCATGGTGGAAAAACAGAACGGACTATTAAATCAAGAAACTTTAGAAAAAGGGGTTCATTGGCAAGAAGTTGCTGTTGGGCAACTTGGAGGATAAATAGAAGACACCAAGAATGTCAGAATGATCATTTCTGCCTTTACAATCCTGGCTACACCTCTGCTTGTCACACAATCAGGGAGGGGTAGAATACGGCTGCAGTTACTTTTGAAAACACCAACACTCCAGGCAAATTCTTTTAAAGGCTAAACACTTCGTTCTTACGAAATCAAGTGCAATTAAAAGCATTAGGCACAACTGGTTTCTGTCCACACCCACTCGACCGCTCACCTGTCTTCCCAGTGTTGCTGATGCTTTTCAATGCGGTGGTGATGTCGTAGTTAACAAACGTGAATGCAGTCAGACTGGAGTCAGATTGGGCAGACCCTGAGATGATGTCAATGGGCGACTGTCGGGTGCCATTGCAAAACCTGGTAGCAATGGTTGGCCAGGTAGAATCACCTACAAATAGGAGCAAGGCTTTAAGTAGCTGAAGAGAAGCAACGGTTAAGATGTTAAGTGCGGCCAGTTTGAGATAAAGGGAGATCACTTACTGCAGCTTGGCAGATGATAACACCAGGCTAGAGGAGGGTTGGATACATTAGTTACTCTGACAAACAATCTACAAAGAGACAAACAGTTTATCCAAAAAGAGTCAATATTGATTCAAGATGAAAATAAATTCATACGGATTGCGTCCGAGGCACAGCGGGCGCTGGACACGAGGACGCACACAGTGAGGACAGCTCCAAGCCAATTCATCTAAAATAACAAAAATTCACTTTTTCATTTTTTTTTTCCCCCCCCAACAAAAAACAAATAAGCACACACATTAACTCATCGGCAAGAAAAAGCATCTGTCGCCATGCAAATATTTAAATAAGAGAATAAAATCAATTTAGTCCGTTTCAAATGCGCGCAACAAGCCAAATACCAATTTGCCAATTATGCACGCAATTTAACAACTGTTCCAAATAATTAAAATGATCATAAACTACTGCGGGATTTGAAAATGCTACTGCCTTGTGTAAAGACGACAACAGAGACCACCAATCGTGCAAAAAAAGTCTCTTTAGACAATTGGACACAACTGATTTCAATTGAGATGCGCAGCAGCGAGTCTTACCTTTGACACACCTGCACCTCGTCTGCTAACGGCTGTGTCTTATCCGCCTCCTTTTTATTCACTCAGTGAAGTAGCTCTGACACCGCCTCTATGTCAGAGCTATGTCTGGAGGATACCTCCCTGAGAGAATTCCCCGGGGTCTGATAAGTAGGAGATTTATTTATTAAAATGATCAAAAAAAATAATAACCTTTCAGTTATACTTTGTACTTGTAATAGCCTACTTGTTGGCTAATAGAAGACCTTTACACGTCCTTATAAGCGTATTAACATAATTATGTGTTAGTAAGACTATTTAAGTTTCATTAATATCACCATAAACATGTTTGTTAGATTATAAAACATTTTTAAGCAGTTATATAATAATCAACAGTTTATATATTCTCATAATTGGTCATTACAACATTACAGTACATATTTATTGAGTTCAGCTAACTTACCTATTATGTAATTGTTCAACTTTTTTTGTGTTGCTTTGTTAAGATTAATACATACTTCATAATGCATTTATTAGCAGTTAACTATGCTTTTTGCAGCATACCCATCTGGAATGAGCACTATGTGTTGTTAAAGTTCATAAAATGTGAATAAAGAACTGTATATAAATACAATGTTTTAGTAATGAAGTATAACAACAAACGTCATGGTGACAGCACCTTTAGTTCCTGGTTAGTCCCCGACTATTGTCCCGTGGCTTTATTTTATGTTTGTGATTTGTTTCCGACAGACACGTTTGGTCAAACTAAGAAGCACAGGCCACAGAAAGACTTCTGCAAATTCAATTTAATAATCTTAATTCTTTTTTTTGTTTTTGCCAGGTGTGCTCTTTATAGCTCTGTACTCAACTCAACTTTACAGGGTGGGGCATCTCATCACTTGCCGGAACAGTGACATGTTCCTGGTGCTCTGGCTTTGTCCATACTTTTTCAGATTTCATTTCTTCTTCCTTAACTCCCCTGTTGGAATCCGGCTGGTGATCTCACCACAGATTGTTTTCATATGACTGGTTCACCTGCGTACCGGGCCCCAGAATGTATTTATGGTCACTCTGTTTGAAACTCTCAATTGAGCATTTTTCCACAAAAAACAAATGTGGGAATGTGATGTACATTCTATGTTTTAGCTAAACAATGTGTAAGAATCACTTATCAACTTTAATAATTAAAAACAAGTATTTCATTCAATGTCAGCAAGTATTTGAAAAAGCTTGTTGACCTGTTTGTTATCTGAAAATAATGGGAACTTAATTAAAAAATAATTAGTGTCTGAGCTTGCAGTATGTTCTTTTGCAGGTCTCCTTGTGATGAAAATTTCAACAGAAAGGGGTCAAACATAAAAATGTCCATTGTACTCTTCTAAGGAGACTGTCCTCATCAAAACACAGCATCTGTCATTTGTTCAAACGATTTAAAATGCTTAACTCGGCAAGCAACCCCTTGAGGAGGTTTAAACTCGCAGTAGTAACAATGGAAGCAGCGTGACCTTTTACAACATTTCAAAGGAAGGACATTATGTTGGATGAATGGGGGTTCAAAGAATGTGACAGAGAGAAAGAGAAAGAGAGAGAGAGAGAGAGAGAGAGAGAGAGAGAGAGAGAGAGAGAGAGAGAGATCTGGGCCAGATAAATAATCCTTGACGTCATCCATGTTTTTTAAAGATCTTAAAAACAGCTTAGTTGGCTTCATATAGGTTACGTACTAGCCCCAATATATTTTTATAAAGGCTCTCTCGTAACTCTGCTTTGAAGGAGTCCATTCTGAAGACAAGGGGCATATATTTTTCTTTAAATCGTCAACTGAGTATGGTAACTTGTCTAGGTTTTTAAAGAAAAAGAGAATTAATGGAAATATGATCTTCCTTTAAGAAGTAAAGTCATCTTTAACCAGTCACACTTGTTCTAGTCTGTTGCAATGTTTTGTTTCAGCTATATGTTTTTAGCCAGACTTCGTGAAAATGAAACAAATTTTGGCTTGATGTTGATTTGACTTTTGACTTGTGAAATATCTGCTGCAATCTGTGTTGCTGTTCCCGCATTGTACATGGAGAAAAATGTGTTTGAGGTGAGGTTGTCTGTTCTGTCAGTTGATAGTAAATCTATCAAAAAGATATTTAGATGAGCTGTGTCATTAAAGTGCACAAACAGCATTGTGGGTCATAAACAGGAAGTGGTTGAACGGGAGTGTCTGGTTGAACTATAATGAAGGTGACTCAGTGGACCAATGTCACAGCCACGTTGCCCGGGTCCAGACCTTTGAATCAACCAACTACTTCACGAGTGTAATGAGTTTATATTTCTGTCTGATATCAGCCACGTACAAAAATAGCTTTTCACGTTTTCCTGTTTTCTTCCAATTCATGCTCAGTCTGCAAGTTCACTCCCAACACAGGTGAGCTATCAAAAGTAGTGTCCATCTTCAGTACAGTATAAAACTGATTTGAGCTGAAATTCATCTATTTTAGACTACATGAGGGCAGAAAAACATGAAAACAAGCTGACAGATACACAACTACCACCATGCGTGCTTATTAAATTATGTCAAACATAACAAATTCCTACTTTCACACGTCAAGCGGATGTGAAGCAACGTTCACATTTATTGAGTTTCTGGCCACCTGATGAATGTAAACCAAATATTCACTATATCCTCCTTTAGCTTGCTGCAGTAGACACTTATTGTTTTTTAGCAGGAAAAGACAGAACGTTAAGATATAGTGTCTGAGACTGACTAACACCTCCTGCATGGGACTATACAACTCAATAAACACAAAAACACAATGAGCTGAAAGAAGATGAAAAGCTGCATAGAGGTTGGTATATATGCATTTGAGGATTTTACATACATTTGGCTTTTCTCGTTTTCTAAAACGAGAAGTGCATTCAAACTGAACTTCATTGCGAGTGAGGAGTGGGGTTGTGTTGTCATTGGTTGATTTGCTTGTATTTGGTCCTGTACATCAATATAATTGATCATGGCGAGAATCTATAGCGAATGGTGGCATGTTCATTAGGGGTGTAACAATACACGTATTTGTATTGAACCGTTCGGTATGAGGCTTACGGTTCTGTACGCATTAAGAACCGAAAAATATGTTTGAATAATACTATTGCATTTGGAAAATGCAGAAGGTTAAATTGTGGCAAATATGTGGTCAACAAGGCAAACCACCCGACATAACAGACATGATGTCTGACACTCCCACCGCAGAAGAACAACATTCTACTGTGGTGATGCATGCTATGCTAAACTAGCTTAGCAAGAAAACCAACAGCAGCACATACTCTACAAACTCTCCCTGCAGGTAGCTGCTCCTGCAGCGATTGTTATATATCAAAGTAAAAAAAGAACAGACTTCATGCTTTTTTGTTGTATTGAACCGTGCCGTATTGAACCGTGACACCCATAATGGTCATAGATTTTTGTGATGAAAGTGCTTTTATGACCCTTTACATTTTTAACAGTGCAGATTATTGTGTATTTTGACTCCTACATGGTGTGGTTTGCCAGATGTGGTGCCATTTTATCAATTTGCACCAGCTAATGTTCATAAAATGTGTTTAATTTGAATGAATATACCTTTTCAAAACTTTACACACCTTAAAAGACGTAACTTAAGCGATCTCTTGTATTTGCTGTAGCACAGCACACCAGCCCTTTAGCTGCTGAATTTACATTCAGGACATTTGTTCTTGAGTCACATCATGCTGCGTATCCATAAGGGAAATAATTCGAGGAAGCATTTTACCCTCAAACAGTATCAATACGATTATTTATTTCCCCACTCATAAAAGCACAAGAACACTCACTGGAATAACACATTATTTTTCATGTTGCATCTTCTGTGCAGTGGTCAACAACTATAATTATTGATTTAGCATAATAGACAATAGTCTTGAATTACCATGAGATATAGTTGATTGAAGGTTTAAATTCTCCTGCATGTTTTGATAGAGCAAAGCAAATCGGGATACGATTAAAATTAAATCAAGTAGTAACCACTTTGATACAAATCAAAAGATGTGATCTTGATCTTGTGAGATTATATAATTGCATACTACATCAATGAAAATCACCAATGAAACAGCACTTTCCAAGCAAGACCGATAATTAGCGCAATATACTTCTTCACAGCAGTTCCGATTAGCTAATCGTCTCACAAGTTGTATGAAAAGGCACAGAGACATGCCAGCAGTAGCAGCAGTATGATGGCAACAGGGGCACTGGATGCTGATTTGGTGGAGTAGATTGTCCTGTCATGAAGAGACTGCGTAGGCCGATAGACGTTGTGATATCCTGCATGAGTCGGGAACATCGTCATCTGGTGGGAAAAAAAGAAAAAGTTAAAGTCTCATTTGGGACAGACTATACACTTGACTTGTTGTAAAAGGCGGCCTCTTTCATTTAAAATAACATTCTTGCACTAGTTATCCTGTTCGAGCAGTACAACCTGTTACAATAGTGAAGGCAGTCGTGCATAAGCAATGTGTCTTGACAGGATATACAGAAGAGACAACAGCCATCACAAAAGAAGCTTTGGAAAAAAAAGATGCCATTTGAATGATGATGACCCACATTTGGGTTAGGTTACTTTCAAGCTGATAAAAGCATTGATCCATTGATTATTTCCATTGATTATTATGTCCTTCAGACAATGTAGTGTAAAAGATTTTTGTACACTTGAAAGTTTGTTATTTTCCAGGCAAAAGTCAATTGCAACACACAGATCTGGAAATCTCTTCTTTGTGCAGTTTTAGTTGTTTTTTTTACCATCTTTTTAAAAAGTCGTCCATTTGCCAAGTAGCAGATTAGGTCAACGCCGTCAGCTTCAACTAACAAAGCACTAGATCATAGTGTCATTGTTATCAAGGGTGATGCACAAGTGAAGTACATTTTGTTTTGGGTTATCCCAAAACAGGGTGCAGCAATTAATTGTGGAAGCTGCCATCATTACCATCAATGACAGTGACTCAATTGTACTGTAGTGGAGAACCAATGTTTGGACACCAGGGCCAATTACTAATTATAAGATCACTTAAACCTGAAGTTAACCCTCATCCCACCAACTGGGGTTCCTTCAGACCCCACAGGTAACCTTTGTCATGTCTCACATTTATTCTATCATTCCAATTTTTCATGACTTTGTCAATCACTTTATTCCTCAGGGCGTCATATCGTTGTTTTCCGTTTCTGTTTTGATTAGTAACTGAAACTGTTTTAAAGATTAAATACCAATGTATTGTTGAGATTTTCCTTTATTTCCCCAACAACAGATATAACACTGGCATTTGTTACGCACACGTTGAATCAGGATTCTGACACACTGCATTTCTGTAGTATCTACCGCTACGCTCAGCATAGTCGTTTTTCATCGACCTGTGATTTCGTGGAACAAACTGCTCTCTTGTAACCTCCAAGCAGGATAATATGCTAACTATTTTGACAATCGTTATTGGTGTTCATTACCCTGTTTGTTGATTATACATAAAATCACTTAATATATAATTCTTATTGTGGCACACCACATTTAAATCTTCAGCACCAAGATGTTGAGAATGACGTACCAGGTTTTGGTCCACCTTGACAGACTCTTTAAAGACTGTCCATACCACCGCTTCATGACATGAAGGGGTGGTTAAGGAGCCGTTGTAGCGGTAGTATTGAGCACGGTTGACATCGCCAAGCAAGTCATCAATGGAGATCGCATCTGTGACGTTAACTTCTGAGCCTGCATGGGAGCCAAAATGCACAAGATGTACTGCCACATTTGTTTTGACATGAATGCAAACAAAACAGTTATTCACTCACTGATGTTATGAATAGCTAAAATATAGCTGGTCAGTTTTTTCCAGGCCTCCATATCAGATGTGGGATGTGTCTACAGAGACAAACACAGTAAATGATGATGAACATTTTGAATATAGGAGTAACACAATCTGCTGCTTGAAGAAATCTACACCACTTGCCTCACGATGTCCTGAACTGCTGCTCTGGGCACTCTTCGCCTGAACAATAAACAGTACAAAGAAGTGAGTCTGTTGTGTAAACAGCACATCTTAGTGTCAAATTTGGACTGCAGAGAAAAGAAAGGATGATTCCCTACCCTAATATGCACTGTGAAAACTCTCCACCAATTATAGAACTGACCACAGGTGGTAGATTTTTATATTGTAACAAATATTCACGAGGTTTGCATTGGAACTTGCATGAACATAGCAGCCCCTTTAATCAGTTTTAAATAGGATTATGACAAATCATTTCACAAAGTCTTTAAAAGTACTTATTCTCATTTAATGTCAGACATACAACTGTGCATGTATACGCATGAAACACTTAGCAATGGATGAGAGGTGACAACATTCTTGTCTCTCAGTAAATGATTTCACCTGATGAGTGAGAGCCCAATTATTTTGGCACCATTTTCCACCCTTCTCTTGTTGTATAACTGCAGTGCAGTATGTATTTTGCTTTGGCTCATGTTTGCCAAGTGTCAAATGTTATATTGTGTTGATGGAAAACATTTACTTGTCATGTCACGACTACAGCACTTGAAGGAACAGATTCTTACCAGCAGCAATAGTGACATCGTATTGTTTTTACCTTGTGACTGTGTGTGTGTGTGTGTGTGTGTGTGTGTGTGTGCGTGTGTGTGTGTGCGTCATCAAGGCCAAATGGAGGGCTGGAGACACACACAAAGTAGCAGGAAATACCACAGAAGCAATGTAGATCTTTGCCAGTTTATATCTCTGTGTCTCTGGCTCAGACCACATTCATCTTAAAACTCAGCCTTCATTTTGATCTCAGCTACATACCTGTAAAGTATTTTGATTGCATCTTGCACGGTTGTGATGCTATCGCAGTGACAAAATCTGTCAACGGACAGACACACAGACGTATAAACACCTCGTAAGTACTCATAACCTCTTCTGTGGCATTTCTCCCTACAGTAGGCGTCTCTCGGGCCATATTTTTGCCATGTGTGTCGCTTTCACTGCTGGTAAGAAAAAATATTTTTTTTTTGGTATCAATAGCAAGCATGGATGTTGAAGTGTGTTCATACTAGAAAAGTGACAAATTACAAACAAGTGTTGAGTGTGTGTAGTAATGCTTTGACTCACAACTACTGACTCATTACATAACTATAGTCTAATGCACTAAATGTTACCTCAATAAGGAATCCCAGCACTGCCAAACCATTAGGAGTCTCTAGTGCCTCTTCCAGAGTTAAATCCTTCCTCTTGTTCACTATGTGCATCTGGACAATGACACAATAATGACATGTAGTATTACACTGGCAAAAACTAAATCTATTAGAAAACCATGCCTTCACTGCAACAACAGAGTAGTTCAATTACCTCCATTGGGTATCTCTTTGAATCCACTTTGTGCTCTGAGCCATCAGACTTATATGAGCCCCAATGGAAGTGGAACTGAAGGGTGGAGTAGACGTATCCCAAACCGCCGCCTGAGACCTCCACCATGTCCTCTTTCAACACACACTTCACTGAAAGTTGAAAATTATTTTCATTATTGATTTATCGAATAAAATGTCCCCCCCAAAAAAATAGCCCCTCAAAATGTTCCAGACCCCAAAGTAATGCCTTCAAATTGCTTGTTTGGACCAACCACGTCTAAAACCCAAAAGATATTCACTTTACTATGAAATACATGAGACATTCACTGATTTGATTATTTAACAATTACTGAAATTGTTGCTGATGAATTATTTTGTGTTTGACTAATAGATAAATCATTGCAGCTCTAATCATAACCCTCAAAAGCTACAGTTAACTTAAGCATTAGTCTTGTTTTGGGATTTGAGTCGGAAACAGCCCATAATATGAGAGAACAAACCTGAGTGGCCTGTGTTAGTCATGTACATGATGGCATGTTTGTCGTCAAACTTTGTAAAATTGAAGGCGTCGAGATGCTCGTCCGACACAGTGTCACGTGTCTCGATGTTGACGGGTGACTGGCGCTCGCCGCCACATTGCGAGTGAGGCAGATTGTGCCAATGAGCCGGCTTGTACTCTGATGGTAGATAGGAAAATGAAAGTGTAAAACAAAATCCTGGAACAGCATTATCACTTTGAAACTGTCGTCAGATTTGTACATACCACAGGCTTCCTCCTCATAGCACCACGAATGACCTAAAGAATAGAAGTCATATTTGATGGGTCAACTCAGTCATAAACACTACTGGTCTATATGCGAGTGTGATTTTACAACTCACTGGGTGATAAAGGAGTTGCAGGGGAAGCGAAGACGTGACGTCCATTAAGAGGTTGTTTAGGCCGATACACATTGGCGAGTCTTGTCTTCATGGGAAACCGCTGAACCTACGAAACAAAAGAAATGTTTATTGTTTAACAGTGAAGTTATTGGGAAAAATAAGGCCGAGTTTTCCCCGGAGGCACAAAAGGCTTTATACAACATTTGTTCACATAAATGTGAAACATGGTACGGTTGATTGACTTAGACGCAAGTAATTAAATGAAGTTTCACTGCAGAAATCAACTTAAAAACAGTCATTTTGGCTCACTGTCTACCCTTTGCAAGTGTTTTACAGACTGGTATGCTTAAAGTAGAGGTCAGAGTCATGCACCTGCTGAACCACCTGACGCACAGGCAACGTGCAGAGAGAGGTGCGCTGGGCTATCGTCCAACTCCTGACGGCTGTCAGGTAGATAAGATGAGGAGAATGATCATTCGTCACTCTGCAACATACAACACGTGACTCAACTATCTGTACAAACCCACCGTCTCATCTTTTGTTGTTGGATTCAACAGAAAGTAAAACAACCCTGATGATCTAACATGATGATCAAAACAGCACACCATGTATTAGTATGTCCCGGCATCATGTTCTCTGGTGATGTTTGCCAGAGGGCGATCAGTGGTCACATGTGTCACAGTTTTTGTGTAATTGCGCTTGCAATAGGTCTTTGCAGTTTTGTTTAACCGGTTCATGGGGAACAGCATGACATGGAAATGAATACATTTTTGCTGGCAGGGAAGAAACCAAGCAAGGCTGCCAGGAACAGCTGGAAATATGCCACAGCAACTCAAGACAGATCATTCCGTCAATCCAGTGACTTTTGTTTACTGCTCGCTTTAAGTGCTGTTTAGGTTCACTGGTCAAAGTAGGAGCTGCAACATAATGGACCTTTATCAGACGTAGGCTGCAAAGGATATTTATTTGCAAAAATCACCTCTTCAAGGAAACAATGCATGCATTAATTGCCCTCTGCACTGCCTCAAGTTTGAGAGGGGGGGGGGGAGCAACTTGCAACTTGGTGTTGAGCAGGTAGTGTAGTGACCGTTGCTTCCCAATAAAAAAAAGTCACTACGGTTGCTGTAATGCTTGTTCTGACGCGTGCCATAACTAACAAAGTCCAGTTTCGAATATAGGCATTTTATTCCTCACATAATCAGAGTTCACCACTTTCTCTTCAGTTATCCATTTTCTCCTCATACCAATAAATCATAACATTTGCATTTGTTGAATCTTCACGGTCAAAAACTGTTTGCTTCTACCTATTAGCAACAACCTGTGTCCAATGACCCCACTGATTATATTACCTGTGGCCTGATTCACACCGGCACTACGCCCCCATGTGGTGGGAGGTTGTACAAAACAAAAACAACAAAATGGCTCTTACAGGTAGTGTGCAGTGGCTTTTTCACAAAAAACAGCTGCTTTCTGCGGCCCCTTCTATCAATAACAGCGAACCAAAACAGTGATGTTACAGGCAGACAGCTAAACAATAGCTGCAGATTCAGGTAATATTCTCTCTAGGGTTCACACGGCCATCTGATTACAAACTGGGGGACTTTTGGGGCTTTTGCTGCTGTAACACTGCAAGTCCAAATACTTTAAATGTTTGAAGGGCCCTTGCAGTCCTCTCTGTGCCGAGGTGTATTAGTAGATTAACTATTGGGTTAGCTCACCAGTTTTTTGTTGATGTTTATTGGCTCTTGAAAGAGTGTCCACACAACGGCTTCACTGCAGTTGGGGGTGGTCAGGGAGCCCATGTACCGATAGAACTTCGTGAGGTCTACATTTCCAATCAGGTCATCGATAGAAATGTTATGGTTCATATCAACCTCTGTGCCTGTGTAAAGATGTAAGACACAAAAAAAGTCATCATCCGGAGTAGTATCACCATACGATCTACTTTTTACATCAACCTCCCCTGCTGCAGATTTCCTTGATGTCTTTCCAAAAATATTCACACTTCACAATAAAAGCACATAGAATGCAAGTACAACGCCAGGAGCATGACTTCCCATAAGAAAACATGGGTCATCAAAGATATCAAAGCACAGGAGCGAAAATAATTTATCCCAGCATCATACTTTCACTCAAATATGTTGGCTCTGAACAAGACTCAGGTTTCGCCAGGATGCCACCATGTGCATGATCTGATGTCTGAGCAAATATTTGAAGCATTAAGGTGCAACGCTTATTTGCATGATTGTTGAGATAAAAGCGCTATACGTCAGGTCACCCTTTTGATTCTCTCACTGTCGTTCTCTCTTTCACATGCGCTTCATCATTGTTCTCCACTCTGCTCGGCCATGCGCACTCTGCTTATACTGAATGGACATTGTGTTGATGTGCAGGCCTACATGCATCAGTGATGATGGCCAGAGCAAGGGTCAACAATCAGCCCATGTTGCACCTTTAACTCTGTCTTGAGACGTCCTTTCCTCTGTAGAGTCACGTGAAGCGACGTCTGTTTCTTATGATGGCGGACGTTGATCACAGCTGGACTGGTGTGACGCAGAGATCAAAAAGTGACTGATGGTATGCCACTGTTGTTCAGCGATACATACCGATCCCTGGAGTGCATGCCACTGCGTTCAGCAGTATATACTGATCCCTGGAGTGGTATGCCCGGAAATTGATCTCAGCACTCCAACTTGAAGGGCATCTCAACTACTAAAATGCATCTCAAAGAGCTACAAGCTAGTAAACACCAGTGTATCCTTTGCGGATTGTATTTGTGTGCATATACATCACTGAATCATATGACACTTTATTTACGTAGTACTTTTCACACAAACATTTGTAGTGCCTCACACAATAAAATACATTAATCCTATAACATATAAGCATGTGTTGAATAAAAATGCATGATATCCTTCTTGTCACATTATGCCACGTTGTGAATTGAATTAAAAGTAAATATACAAGATCATAAACAGTGTTCAGGACAACTGTGGAGGCGAGGAGAGGAATCAAGGATGTACAAACTGGTAAATGAGAACGGTCTTAGGTCTCTATCAGACCAATCACTGCGATCTGCTGCAATAATATTAGAGGGACAAACACCTACCTGTGATGTTTGTCAGGTAAGATGTGAGATCGCCCCATGGTCCCGACATATCTCCATCGTCTGTTGCCTTTAGGGAGAGGACATCAATTATACTTCCATTATCTTGACAATATGGGAATTAACTCCTTCAACGTGCATGCATTTAGTTATTTTTTTGTAAATATTATCTGGAGCAGTCCAGTCGTCAGTGGGTTGTTGGTGTTCAGATGCAGCCATCAGACAACCACTGCAATGACCTGTGATCTTAAGATGTAATAATCTGGCCAAATTTCATAATTGCAACCTCTTTCCAATGAGCAAGCTGAAATTCTGCAAAAATGTTAATATTCTAATGATGTTTTCAAGGCATTCTTTTTAGTGAATGGTTAGCAATCAATAGTTTTCTTTGTAATGATTTGAAATACTGGACATACATTTATGAAAAACCCAAGAGCTGCAATTCCCTCTGAATCCTCCTTGGCGTCCTGCGCGGAGAGGCCTTTCTTCAGACTGACTATGTGCATCTACGAGAGAGTACATGGATTGATAAGACAAAACAAATCAATGCAGTTTATAAAGAGGAGAGGCATGTTGTCTCAGGTGAATGCCAACCCATACTGTACCTCCATGGGATATCTGTGCCCATCAATCATGTGCTCTGAACCTGGATGATATTCTGTATTGCCCCAGTGAAAGTGAAACTGAAGTGTAGAATAAGTTCCATTAAGTCCACCTCCACTCACTTCAACTTCATTTGCCTCCAATATGCATTTCACTAAAGATGGAGAAGAGTGTTTATGTAGTTACAGCCTGTTTTTACAGAAGTTTAACACATTTGATTTGAATGACTTCTCTGTCCAATACTGCATATGGTGTTCTATGCAAAAAAGAACAATGTTGTGTACTCAGTCTCAGTTTGTGTACCTGTATGACCGTTGTTTATGATGGACTTGATGACGTGTTGAGAGGAGAAGTTGACAAAGGTGAAGTTAAGCAGGTGATGGTCAGTGTTAACATCGGCAGTGACGATATTAATAGGAGACTGCCTTTTTTCTCCACAGGAAGCACCGGGGATGTCTGCCCACTTATTCGGGGTGTGCTCTGTGAAAGTCATTAAACTATTGTAGACCGATAATGGTTTTGATCCAAACTGTACCGTCACATCTGTCTGTACTTACCACAGCCGTTATAGCACCATTCACTTCCAGCAGCTGAAACAGAAATATAGAAAATGTACTTTGAAACACTGCAGGAGCCAGCTGATACAAAAGCGTCAAATGTGGCTTTATCAGCATTATGTAATGAAATACTTCCCTGCCTGAGAAATAATAATAATAATCAGTGGTGGTTACTCAAGTAAAATTGATAAAAGCCTACTTGTACCCATTGTTTATGCTGCTTAGTGCTTCTACTCCACCACATTTCAGAGTGAAATGTACGTTTCAGTTATGACAACTAAAGCTACTTTCTACATTATGATTTTACATAAACAAGTGTGAATTACATGAATGTACATGCAGCCACAGGTGAATGCATTCTCACACCACTTCTCAAACACTTGTCCTCCGTGGCTTGATGTCAATGTTACTTTCTGCTGCTACCAATGGGGCCTCCCACCAGAGTGTACTACAAACGGTTCACGAGTTCGGTCATGGTACGTGAATTTGTTTAGAAGTCATGCGCCTGTTTACTGTTGGTCAGTCTAACTGCAAAGCCTTAGTCATGAACACAAACCTTCACGCCACACTCTTGACATCCATGACAACTTTTAACCTCCTAAGACTAATACTTGGGTTACCAAAGTGTAGGAAAATATTTGTTGAAATAGGTCAAATGATCCAATATTACACAAAAAAACAATTAGTAAAGTCAAAACCTGGGAGAAATTTTTTTTATTTTTTTTTAAATCATGTCAAGAACCCTCAGTTCCATCTAGTGGTCCTCTGGGGGCCTACAACTCCTCGGTTGGGAACCACTAAACTAAACGACCACATCTACATCTGGTTGAAACGGGCAACACCTTCACCAGCTACAGGAGCAAAATGCTGCTCATGTGTTGTTATTTAAACATCAAATAATGTGGCACAAAGCCATTCAGTTATCGTTACTTTAAGTGCAACTTCACCCCCAAGTTTGAGCCTAACTCCACCCTCTGTGTAATTTAGAAAAATGTTCAAAAGTGGGCAAGGAGCTGAGAGATGAAATGACACCCACGCGCCGCCGCTGGGAGACTACTTTGCCGGGAGGAATGCGGATTCACCTGGCTTCCTTATGTGCCCATAGCTTAATTTCCAGTCCACAGTAAGGAGAGGACAAGCTTGTGCTGGGATTCTATTGCTACACAGTGAATACTAAAAAAGTGAAAACGATAGTGTGGGGAGAGGCGAGCAGGAGGGTCTAAGTGGAGCGCTTTAACATCCTTTTATTTCATGATGTAGACTCAATCTCAGATTGGCATTGCAAGATTAGGGCAGATTTAAAACAGTAAATGGTGTTTTGAGCCATTCTCAACAGTGAAATGTAGATTTATAGAAAAAAATATTAAGAAATGTCTTTATTAACAGATGAATGTAGTTATTCTTTAAACTATGATATTCCGATTCTGAATTTGCAATGTAAAGATATAGTGGAAAAATATCTCCCCAGGCAGAGGATAAAGTCTCTCTCTCTCTCTCTCTCTGTGTGTGTAGTAAAAGCCTGGATGGCTTTTCTTTATTTACTTAGCTGAGCCCGCCGGGCGTGCCCTTTGCTAGCCCATGAAAGCTCATCTGCACTGCGTTCATTCGGCGGTATCTTGTTTGAGGATGTGTAGCGCCCATCCTCCAGATCCCCCCCCCCACCCAGATAAACATTGTTATCTGTTGCCGTAGTTTGCACTATTAGCACTGTTAGCTGCAAGCCACTGGCTAGGCTGCCACCGTGTAGAGAGCAGTGTGGAGTCAATAGATATGACTTCTGAATTATGTCCCTGTAATAGAGGAAGCGGCAGTTTCAGGACCACATTCCTAGGACTTTTTTTTGTAGCTAAACGGACAGTGAGCACAGTGATTTTATTAAAATAATGTAACATGATTAAAATGGTAAAATAATAAGTATTAACAAGAACTAGACTTATGCCGTACGCTTAAGGCTTTGCAAAAATTAGGGTCCTAAGCATGCGGCCCTTGGACTTTGGTCCTGAAAGTGCAGCTTTCTTTATTCCAGGATATATGCTACTTAAAATCAGCACCTTTAAAAAAGCAAAGCTTTTGTGGAGAATTTCAACACTTGTGTACTTTTCCTAAGTAAAGTATCTGAGTACTTTTTCCACCACTGCAACAGGTACCAAGATCAAGAGGCCCGTGTTGGATCATGCGGTGTGGTGGACAACTTTAGTCAATGCGGTTTTTACAAAACTTTTGTTGATTTAATATGCTGGATGCATTTTAGGTTGCTGAACATAGGTTGTTCAAGTTCAAAATTCCCACAACAGATCCCTCATATCCTAAATAAATTGCACATAACCCTCAAACATTATACATAATATACAGAAATTGATAAAGCTCACGAATTACAAATGTTTTCATTTAGTGACAATTGATGCATTTTACTCACCACATTTTACCATTGCCCCCAAACTCAGAAACAGCAGAAGTAAGGAAAGATGCATCTTTAGGAAGAAAAGGAAACCGGTTATCAATCAAGGTTTCATGAAGTCTTTTTCTCAATGTCTGAAGTAACTTTATCAGACAGAGAAAACATCTCTATACCAGCCTCTGTGATGATTAAGCAAGCCCACCGTACGCTACGATGTATAAGTCAAAGGATATCAATAGGAATACAGAGCTTTTCTTTTTTCAGGTTTAGGTCTGGACATGGAGTCAATCACCTATTTCATGCAATCTGCGTTACAGAGTCCATCACTGACCTGAAATCCCATTTAAATGCACTATATTGAAGAACAAAAACCTTTATAGATAAAGCAATGCCCTTTGGCAATTCATGCGTTAGAAGTCTGACAAACACCCTACCTTCCTGGCCTGAGTCCCTCCAGATTAAACAAGTTCATCAGTGAGGAGAAGGTGAAAATGTGTCCCATGTATCCATCAAGTCGGTTATAAGGAGGAGGAGGGACACACAGTGGGAGGGAGGTCCTCTGCGTATATATACACAACACCAAACCAGTATGGGGGAGACACGTAACATGACTGCCGGTCTCTGTTCCTGACATTGCAATCAAAATACAAATGATGAGAGCAAGTCAATGATCTGGTAACATATAAGGGTTTACTCAGCAAAGTAAAGATAGCTCAATGAATCGTGCTCCAGGACACAGCACCCAGGTTTCCATACACTACACTGACTCAATGTATGGCAGCATATTTTATGATTATTTTGTATTTATTTTTAAAAGAAGAGTCTTAGTTTAAATGCAAAGCATGATTGTTTTTCTAAACTTCACTTATGATGAAACTTAAAATCATCAATTTGAACCCTGTGAAAGGAAGTGGTATTTGACACCTCCGTTTTTGTGGTCATCACCAACAATGGAACACAAATGAACAAAAGCATAACCCGGATAAAAGGATATACTGAAATTTACTCCATCCCTTTGAAAACATAGGACACAGCTAGACTAAGCTTTTAATTCACAGGTGACCCTGCAAACTGATACCTTAGAAGCTAAATAAGACTTGGTCTTTACACAATTGGATTATATCAGGCTTCAAGCAGCCTATACAAGCCATTGTAGGAATGTTGACCATAAACTGCAGTAATGTGAGATATTATACAGTTTGCTGAGTCAGTGCCATTTGTTTCATTGCACATACGACTACATTTCAACTGCTCAATCCTGGGAAATCTTGAAGGTAACAGAAGTTCAGGTTGACACATCAAACATGAAACAGATACTGTGCGGGAAATTGTTACGTCAACATAAATACACACACACACACACACGCACACACACACACACACACTGGTATGGTTAACTGATTGATCCAAATCAATCCTTAGAGCCAAGACTCAATCGACTCACCTCACTTTCTGCCAGAAAATTAATATTTGTATTTCCCAAAATGTCGGAACAATTCATATAAATTGATGACAATGTGTTTTATGAAAGAATTTAGCTTAACATGAAAACATTGACACTTCAACATCACTCCATCATTCTTGACAGAGAGAAAACAGCCTTTGTACAAGTCAGTGTTTATTGTAATTGTGCCAGCGTTTACACACACACACGACTCTGTAAATGAACCCACACAAGTTTCCTGCCTTTCACCACATCACTCATGTATTCAGGCCCTATCTGGGTTTGACTTCCCAAACACAACACACCTTTTCCAAAACAACAAGGACAAGCTGGTAGGCAGGTTTATGTTCAGTGAATTGACACAATGGAGAGACAGTATGTGTGAAGAACAATCTAGCAGTGGTGGGCCGTCAGGGCCAGCTAAGCCTTCTCTGCTGGCCTAAACAGAATCACAAAGTTATAGCTATTTTATAATTTAATGTGTGTTTGCCGGCAAAGGCAAAGGCCGTAGCTCAGTAGGACAGCACAGAAGGCCCATATAAAATGCACAGCCCGCCACTGCAATCTAGAGTGTATGAATGAATGAATGAATGACTGAATGAATGAATGTATGAATGAATGTATGAATGAATGTATGAATGAATGGTTAAATATGAGTAGCATCAAGGCCTAAGATAAGCTGATGATACATTTTGTGGTTGCACTAAAGTCAGTATAACCTGTATCAATATGAAGCAGTCAAAAGAACACAAAGTTCCAGCTCTGTCTGTGGTGATTGAACAATATATCTTTCCTCCTTTTTCTTGCCAAGTCACTGACCACTAAATAAGAACTTTGTTTTTCCTTGACACAAGACAGACGTTTACCATAAAACCTTCCCGGCAGGAAACCTTGGTCCGTGAGTTGCAGATTTCAGAGAGTTCCCTGTGCTGTCTGGAGAGAAACACTTTGCTTCATCTGAGCAGCAGCTGCAGCTCGTTAACTGATCATCTTGTGATTGGCTGGACAATTGACTTCAGCAGTTGTGGTGGTCACAAATCTTTTAAGTGGCACTTCATAAATGCAAGTGTCAGTTTGATTTGTCTGTGTATATTTCTTGTGAAAAATCACTGATGCCTACAAATATAAAATGAGTGCGACCAGGGGGAAAAAAAGATAAGATTAAAACAGATTAAAGAATAAATAAAAGGGGAAGGTTGAACAGAAATGATTTATTTAAATTCAGTATATTCTAAAATATATTCATACTCTGGACTAAAAGTCTGAACCCAATTTATATTATATTATTATGAATCATTCCGAATTTACAACATATACATCCCATAAGGTTATATATATATATAAAACCTAACTTTATATGCTTTATAACTTTATAGTTGTGAGTTAAAACTGTTGTGTTTTATGGGCATATTTACCCAAGTTATTGACGTTTTTCAACTGCTGTTTCAATTAGCCCCAGTCATGAGTATGTGCACAAAATCAAATCTAGTAATACTTTAGAAGTCAGTAAACAATGTGAAATAGAAAACTAAAAGTAAACATAGCAAAAGCAGCTAATTGGAAGCAAATCCATGACAGAGATAACCTGTGCTTGTGGTGTATGTCCGCTAGAAGTTCTACAGATGAGGAACATTTTATTATCAGATGGGAATTTGTAACATTGCATAAGTTGTTTTTGTGTTAACTGCTGTGAAATTTTGCTGTAAAAAAAATCTGTGGGCTGAGTGGGCAAGTTAGGAGAGTGGCAGTAGACTTCATTTTCATCTCTCCAGTGCATTCATACAGATTACTGCCGCTGAGATAGACCAATTAACATTTTGGATCAACTAAACTGTTTTACAAAAATGCTCCTACAAAAAAAAGAATCTTAACAAATTATATAATCGCCGTAGCCAGTTATTATCACCCTTTTTGCATGGAAAATGTACAATAGGCAGATCATTAAATAAAGGAAAAGTAAAACAAACTTGTTTGCTCCTAGAGCCAACCTAAATAAAGGCACGTTAAAAATCTAAAACCTAAATGTGTTTTTTGTATTTCTGTCAGCTGTTAGATTCATGACGAGCTCTTGTGGGAGTCCACATGTTGCTGGAAAGGTATGAACAGCCGGACAGCGCCAATCCTGGGCGCAGTACTTCGTGCAGCCACATGGTGGCGTTAAAGGGCACAATCTCCGGGTTGCTCAGAGTAGAGAGGAAACACTCCTGCAAAACAAAGACCAAACACCATGGGGACACTCAACACTGAACTACATAGCGTTTCAAAAATACTGTATGTGCCTTGCTGCTGTTGAATCAGTAGATACATGTACAGTAGAAGCATTTCATTAAATATCAATGTGTCGTGAGAAGTCTTACTGAAAGAGGATCCCAGTTATCTCATCAACAAGGCCACCTGAAAAAAAAGCAATATATACAATATTTTAAAAAGGCCAAAGTTGACTGAATATTTAAATAAACAAGGTGCATGCACAGTATGAGTACCAGTATTTACCTGGTGTGCAAATTGTGTCGCACAGTATTGGGCAAATGTAACAGGATGAGCATTCCTGGAAGACAAAAGGGTTAAAATGAGGAGGCTCTTGTCCCACTGAAGCGTTGCCTTTAATGTGTATTATATAGACAAAGCTTATGCAGATGCTTACTTGGCAGTGCTCACACTGGTCCGACTCATCTCCCTCTTCACAAGGGCATTTGTCACAGTTATTAGAGCAGTGCTAAAAGAAGCGGGGGGTGGGGGGGGGGACACACATTCTGTACAGTTATTTTCAAATAAAAATGTATTTGAAATAAACTTAGACTATTCATTGCAACTTTACATTCTTCTACTACATGATTTTACCTCACAGATGGAGCAAACACTACACAAAGAGCCAGAGCGGTATTGCAGCAGGTCAGTAGCGGGCTCCACTTCACTTGTGTTATCTGCTGCGTCATCATCTTCAGGCTCATCTAAAGTCAACAGAGTCAATGATAAATTAGGCCTCTAGAGCTGCAGCGGTAATGCAGCCTGATCGACATTAGTTCACTGTTGATAAATCGTATCGCCAGAGCCAACCTAAATAAGCCAGTACCAAGAAGTAGCAATGATTTTTCAGTCAACCAATACCTGCATTTGATCCTTTTTGTACCCAGATATAGAGAAAAAATACTGTCTGTATGGTTTTGCTCAAAGCCAATCACAGCAATCAATCTTTGATCAAATGTGACGTGTGATTGGCCCACTGCCACACCAGCATTTGACAAAGTTGGCAGTTCAGCGCGCCAAGAGAGCCACAAAAATGTTTGAAAGTGTGGTTTGGTACATCAGGCCTGTGGCATCAGATAAAACATAACTGCGGTGGTTGTGGCATTATACGCAACTGAATACGTGCAATCAGATGATGGGTAGAATAGAAAACAAAGTTAGTAAATGAAGTACTCTTTTGGTATCTGTATCACTTTACTGGTATTGGTACTATCGTCATTTTTTAAACCATACCCAACTGTCGGTATCGCTGGGTATACGTAATTTAGAAAGTGTCCCCACTAAGTATTTTGTCCACCACTTTGGTCCAGACTGAAATATCTCAACAACAGTGTGCATTTAGACATTCATGGTCCTCAGAGGATGAATCCTACTGACTTTGGTAATCCCCTTACTTTTCGTTCCCCCCAGAGAATGAATTGTAACTTTGATCTCTGACTTTTCATCTACCATCACCAGGTCAAAATTTCAGTTTGTCCTGACCAAATACCAACAAAACTAGTGACATACCAGTCAGCCAAAACAAATGTGTTTAGTGCTAATTAGCAAATGTTAGCATGTTAATACAAACATTATACCTGCTAAACATCAGCGTGCAAGTACTGTAAGCATGTTAGCATCACAGAGCCACTAACATGGCTGTAGACTCTCTTGTCACATTGCAAAATGTCCTGCTTGGTGTGTATCTCCGGCACAATTCCTTAACATATCTGAGGGATCCATATTAACATTGATGCTCGTGTTATGTTTATAAATGTTGAAAAAAAATGAACCTTCCTTTTTCCAGAGATCATGAGATCATATGATTAGAGTCAGGTTGTGTTACAGTCAATGCTAATATGCTTATACAACAATATTTATTTGAGTCGCATGTAAACGTTTCAGAGCAGTTAGCCTTTAGAGAGAGAAGGCAAAATGCACAGATGAGTACTTGTAACAAAAGTAAGACGTGAGGTCAATGAGCAAACTATCCCCAACATGTGCTGTATGACACTGTGTTTGCACAGTAAAGAATAAACAACAGCATGAAAGCTCTTCTTTTGAATATCGCTTCCATCTAAATGTTTTTACACACTTTATCAGTACCTGTTTTGAGGTCTCAAAATGGCCACACTGGTTCAACAAAAGGCATGGAGGGTTTAGATACTGCTTGGTGCCAGCTACCTCACAGATAAGCCGGTCTATTTTAGGATTGATATGTGTGACAGTGTCCCTACGGTGGCTGCAGCTCGCTTTATGACAGAAGTGTTAGGAAACAATGTGGTTTACTTTATACTGAGTGGTTGCAAGTGTTTTGATAAACCCAATATATTAAATAAGCGGGAATACCGTCATCTTCCTCTGCTTCAGTTGCATCCTCTTCTTCCTCCTCATCTTCTTCCTCCTCCTCATCAGCATCATTGGCCTCCTCTTGCTCAGCTAACTCAACTCCTTCAGTTTCGTCGTCATCATCGTCATCAGAAGCCTCCTCATCCTCCTCTGCTGCTGCCTCATCAGCCTCCTCTTCCTCAGCATCGTCCTCGTCTTCCTCATCTGCAGCCTCCTCCCCCTCCTCATCGTCTCCCTCTTCTTCAGCATCGTCCTCGTCTTCCTCATCTGCAGCCTCCTCCCCATCCTCATCGTCTTCCTCTTCTTCAGCATCATCCTCGTCTTCCTCATCTGCAGCCTCCTCCCCATCCTCATCGTCTTCCTCTTCTTCAGCATCATCCTCGTCTTCCTCATCTGCCGCCTCCTCGCCCTCTTCCTTGTCTTCCTCTTCTTCAGCATCCTCCTCTTCCTCATCCGCAGCCTCCTCGCCCTCTTCCTCGTCTTCATCTTCTTCAGCTTCTACCTCCTCTTCCTCATCGGCAGCCTCTTCTTCTTCCTCCTCATCGGCCTCTTCCTCTTCTTCCCCCTCCTCCTCGGCAGCCTCTTCCTCCTCCTCCACTTCCTCGGCAGCAGCCTCCACTTCCTCTTCCTTCTCCTCAGCAACCTCCTCTTCCTCCTCCTGTTCATCAGTTTCTGCCTCATCATCTGCCTCATCATCATCTTCCTCATCATACTCTGCTACATGTTCCTCTTCCTCACCTGCACCATCATCACCCTCAGTGGTTTCGCCCTCTTCAGCCACAACCACCGCAACATTTCCGGCATGGAGGCCTTCGTCCGCTGCAGCCACGTCCTGGGCACTCACTACTCCAGAGAGCGGGCCCTGCGATGGGCACAGGAGGACCAGCAGGAGCCCCACTACCCAGCCTTTCACAGGTGCCATGTTGGAAAACACAGTTGAGGACACTCTTCTGAACTACAAATCCACAACCGGGTGATTATCTCCACCCTGTTTCAAAAAACAATCAATGGGTTTTTAACACGTAAAAACAATTAAATCCGCGGAAAAGGTAACAGAGCTGCAGGTGATTCGGGGATATTGTTCAGCTCTTTGCTCCGAGCTTCAGAGAGACGGGGTGAGGAGGGCCACGTTCACGAGACTAACAGAGCAGAGTGCCAGCCTTGTGTTGGGAACGCAGAGGACACAGTGCAAACACAACTGGGTGTGTGGTGTAGTTGTGTGGCTGTGAGTGACAGGGGCACATGTCCGGGAAGAATGCTCCTGATGCCCTTAACCCTGTGTATTAGAGAGGTGGGTGTGTGCTTATGTCAGACAGTGGGGGGGGGGGGGGGGGGGTGGACTCCAGGGGGGGGGGGAAAAGAGAGGTTAAAGAACATATGGAAATAAGGAGGGAGAAGTTCAATTACTGATATTTAATAATTCCTATTAAAGCTGATGAAGTTTTAATTTGATATAACCTTTGTTGTAAAACTGCTTAAATAATTCAGGAGAGTATGTAGGTACGCACATGAGTAGTTAGCTCCTCAGGTTTAGGCAACAAGCTACTTAGGTTTAGGAGAAACCGGTTGGGTTCCAGTAAACCCTTTCTGGCAGAAATCCATTAGGGCAAACCTCTTCCATGTGCGTCACTGTTCACACTTGTATGTCTGTTATTCATTACCTTTATTACAATTATATTTTTTCAAGTTTTTATATTTTTTTCTCTAATTGTAATGTAATTCCAGCACACATCTCTAAATTACCCATAACAGAAACGAGCCAATAAAGAAATATAATAATAAAAAAGATATACAATTCTACAGTTCTATTCTAAATGAGACACAAAGAGTAACAGATAGTATTCAGACTCAACAACTTTGACTTTTGCCATTTATTCTCAGCCCAATGAAGTTGTGGGAGGTGTAACCATGTGCACCAATACTCTCCCTTTCTTTAATTTAATCTGATTTTAAACGTGGCTGAAACTCAGGACTGCATGTGCGCACACCCCATTGTACATATGAAAGCAGCTCCATTCGAATGAAGGCCTCTCTGGAGGGAAATCGAATTTATAAAATGACCACAGGATTAAACCAACACCTCTCAGACAGTCTCAACAGTGAAGGTGATATTTGCTTGCCAGTCGCAAAGCAGTGGGGAACATGTCAGGATGATGTATGGAATGGATGTAAATAGAAGGAAATAGAGATGACGGCAATCTGCACATGTGCAGCGACTTGACATTCCAAAGAAGCTTTATATATGAAGTTCAGAGTTTTTGTACTGGGTACTCATCATGAAGCCAGATGAGAAACAGGTGGGAGAGTTTGAGTCTGTGCCATCGTGTTGAATGAGGAGAGTTTAAATCAAAATGACACTTGAGTAGTGACACACACATGATCACTTACATGGGAACATATTTGCACATGCAGCAGTCATGCAGAAAGTGATGACACAGCCTCCCTCAAGTGTAAGCCGCTGGTGCGATTGACAGGTGGCCCAGCCGGCTATTTACAGTAAAGTCTCCTTCAATAGCCCTGCTCCACTATGTGACCTTCAATAGGGCTCTGACACACTGAAACTCAGCACCATGGTACACCTTTCACACGGCCCATATCCTCTTCTCTCTACAGTATATCCAACTACTTTGCTTATTTGTTTTAGTCGCACTTTCCCCTCAGTGATCCTCTCGTTAAATTCACATAATTTAATGCGGTATAGTTCAGTGCAGTTTCACGAAGTTTCTTTGAACCAAGCTTACTTTACTTTCACAAACATTTCATCTCCTAAAGCCACCCTACTTTACCCTTTGGTGTCTTACTAAAATAATAGTCCATTATTTTTGGGAACACTTTGTTTCCTTGCAGAGTTGGATGAGACGATCGATACCACTCTCCTGCACCTGTAACTAACTTGTGACTCTAATTAACATGCATCCTGAGTCAGGCTAGCTGTTGCCCCTTGTTTCCAGTCTTTGTGCTAAGCTAAGCTTAGTGTCTGCTGGCTCATGAGGATATCAATCTAACTCTCAGCAGGAGAGTGAATGCCGTGCATGTCCCAGAATGTTGACCTAAATGGTAAATGGACTTGTAAAGCGTTTCCTAGCGTTATTCCATTAACAGTAAAATAATGAGTTCATTAATACTGCATATACAATTTATTGAACAGAATAAAGTAATGTGGCATTACAAATAAATGGTTTAGCATTTACAGAAAATCACAGAACACAAAAGTATGAAAACAGTAATGTGCAGTGAATGCAACTCTGTCAAAAAAGTATCATAGTTTTAATATAGCAGTAAAAATCAATATAAAAACCTTAACAGAATTCCAGCAGTCCGCAAAAAAATACAGCAATAAAGACATGATAGTATTGACAAATATAATCCATAAAATACATCATAAATACACACTTGACTTTGGCATTTAAATATGATCGATTGCACATTTAAAATATCAGCTTTTGCATTTAATCAATACTGTAACAAGAAGTGATGGCTGCTACACCTTTTTTTTCAGTTCAGAACAAGTAAAAGTGTTTGGTAACCGAGTCCGGTGATGAACATAGCTGGCAAATGGTAAGAATGGTGGGTGTGTAGCAAGAGAGCAGCCAAAGTAAAAGCACTTGAATATTGTCTTAAACCGACCCTGAGCAAGTGAACGCATCACCACGGCTGGATCAGGTGGACGTGGAAGAAGAGGGGAACGAATCTGTGAGGAAGAGGCAGAATACGGAAAGTGAGGGGACGAGTGACTCGAGGAAAAACAACACTACATGCTGAATACGACCTGTGACATTCCAACACGCAACCAACATTTTTCTTGTTTCTGTGATGATACGTGCATGTTCTCATTTGTACCTCTCGGTGTCGGAGGAGGACGAGGAGGCTTGAACGTGCTGCCTTGTGCCAAAGTGTCAACAATCCAGCTGAGAGCATTTGAGCAGTACTCCATCTGAGAAAGAAGATCAAAAGAGCCAAACATATTTCAACATTCTAGGAAATACACTTATTCACTCCAACAACTCGACCTGCTAAATATGAGGCTACCACAAGCAGCCAGTTAGCTTAGCTTAGCATAAAGACTGGTACCAGGGGGAAACGGCTAGCCTGAAAGAAAGCAAATAAGCGTATTTCCCAAAATGGCAAACTATTCGATAAACAAATGTGTGACTTTCCAGACATAAATACATATATCAATATTAGATCGTAGCGTTCTAGTTGTGATGACGCAATCACCCGGCCCTGCTATATCTAGATGGGTGACGGTTATTTGACTTTTGTACAGGATTGGTTGACTGCAGCAATGCCGTGAAAGTCATGAGAACTACACAGATGGTACAGAGTGATGAACTCAGTGAAATGCTTTGACAACAGTCCTTTCATTTTACCTCATTCTCCACAGCCCTCAGCCTGAGGTCAAAGTCTCTGCTTTCAGTCATATGTTTAACCACACCGTCCACTCTTTAAAACAGAAGATATTAACCTCAGTATGATGGAGACACAAGATAAATAGTTAAACCGCTACGGTGTTGGTGTAGGAAGGTGTTCTCACTTGACAGACATCCGTTTGAGCCTCTCCGAGTCACTGCTTTTCTGGATGGTGTTCTGGGCAGTCAAGAAGTCCTCCTTCTGAATGGTTTCCCACGTCATGAGCCTGTTGGCTGCTTTCCCTCTTAACTGCAACACTGATGGAAAAGGCAAAAGTGTTTAATCATCGTTATCTTTCTACTCAGCCAAGGTGTTTCCTGGACCGAGCAGAAACCACCACGGCTGAGTTGAAGCCGTTGTGGAAATTAACAATGATCCAGTTTGTAAAGTTTTAGACTTCAGATGTGATTGACAATATTATTATGGACATTTTGTCCAACAACACCAACAAATAAACTGCCTTCCCCAATTCTGATACTGACCAAAGTGGTGGATCTTGATAGAGGGCACTTTGCGGATGACCCTTTTGATAAAGAGATTGATGTGAGAGAGGATGATGAAAGGAGGAGCCAGGGAAGGACGGGAGTGGTACTGAACTATCAGGGTGTAGCGCTGGAACTTCCAGTAGATGTCGCTCTTGCCCTGCACTTCGGAGAAGGTGTGGCTGGGTGGACACAAAGAGAGCAGAGTAACAAGTGCTGTGGGGAACTGAAGTGTAGAGAACTTATAGCATGTCAGTAAAGCGAGCTAGAAACAGATTGACGGACACTGAACTCATTGTTCTGTACCTAAACATGGCGATGAGCAGGTTGATGAGCAGGATATTGGTGACGAGCAGATAAACAATCAGCAGAATTACCACCAGCCAGTTACTATACTCAATCCTGCACGGCTCCTGACCGCTCTCAATCAATGTCACGTTGTGTGTGCAGGGCATGTCCCACTGCTTCCCCACTGGCATAGACACAAAATAAAGAGTAGGTTAAAATATGTCCAGTTTCGTATATTATTATATAGATCTGCTTTAAGTTTAAAATAACAGTGAATTCTTATTACTGTGATTTTAAAAAGCTGCAATGGATGTGGAAAAACATCCAGTACATACGTTACTCTTCGACTGGTTTCAAACTGTACGTATTATTTTCTCAAGATGCATGACACACAAACAAACTAACACATCTACCATCCATCTCTTCCACGGGGATCTGTCCAAAGATGTGCAAGTACGGCCTGTAGAAGACCCGGCGAAAGATGCGATCTAAGCTCGGGTCATAGGAGTAGAGCAAAGCCTGATTGGCGACTCCGTACGCCAAGAGCCACACCATCAGGAAGAAAAGGAAGAAGAAGATGTCCTTCATCTGAAAAGGAGAAATTTCTTTCCGTCATCATAACGTCAACATCTTGCTTTGTAACATCGATTCAATGTCAACTTATGGAAAGGTTTCTCACCATCTTGCCAACAATGATGATTTTTGGCCCCAGCTGCTTGTGAATGGCAAAGATGTGGATGAGACGGAGGGTGAAGACCATGTAGTCCACACACAGGATATCCCGACCAAATCCATACGACCATGTGAACATCCTAAAGACACAGAGTGAAGCATGTATACAGTTATAATGGCACCACCCGGTGGCCAACATGTGAAAATGACTGCAGGTTCTCAACAGGAATTTGATTATCACTGAAGAAGACTATTTCTGATCATGTTGTTTGGAATCGCATACATTGAGATTCTGCGATATGAAGACC